ATAACCTACAGTTTATCAATAAAAGGCTATGTGAAACGGTGGGATTTAATCGTCTCGTGTTGAGCTTGATTAGTTAACAGCATAGCACAAATAGCAACGCTAACATAGCGTTAGTGTCAGTCACAATTCTCATCCCACTGTATTTGCTGTTACAGCATAAAAATAAGTAAGAAGCCCATCAAAAAATGTGTCTAGATTTGGCATTAATTTGGAAAACGCCATAAAGTAAGTTACTGAGTTACCAGAAACTCCCATTCATTACCAAGAAGAGATTCAGTAAATCTCCAATATTTACTTCTATGGGTCTCTAGGAGAAGATCTTCTAGTCGCTATTTTATGTTTGTTGTGTATCTTTTCAAAAAGTTATGATGTGTTTGTGAGAGAGACAGGGTGCAGGGGAGTGACAGGGGCATTATGGTGGACCTTGAGGTGAGGTCATTTTTCCACAGTTAATGGCCTGACATTCACACAAATTAAATGGACCATAACAGGGGAAACACACTAAGGACTAAAACTGAGGAAGGAACAGGATGGCCAGCAACACCTGCTGGCCAAGCAGGGAAGGGCAGGGAAGGATAAGCGCCAACCCTGACACCCTACATCAGGGGTCGGCAACCCTAGGCACGTGTGCCACAACTGGCACGCGGAGGAATTTCGAGTGGCACGCTGACGATGATCACAATAGAGACCTGCAGGACCCGCGGGACCCAACGCACCGAGTGCGGCGCGGGACAAGATTTGATGGGTGAATGCGGGTGCGGGCGGTAAGGTCCTCATGTATGTGCAAGTTGCGGGAGAATAGAATTAATCGCGGGACTCCCGCAAAATGGAATTATCTTAAAATTATTTTTTTAAAAACAAGTACTCTATTATTTATCTACTGCACAAAAGCAACGTAAGAACGACTAAATTAAAGGCTAACGCTCTGAAGCAGTATTAGGCCAAATGCTTTTCTGTTTGACCACTTGAGAAATCAACGTTTATTATTATTTTGTTTCATTGCAATATTATTGGCCTATTTCTAACTGTTCTGAGTGTATTTCTATGTTCTGAAAAGCTCCTCGTTCATGTCCATCTTCATCATCCCATTTAATTAAACTCAAATAAAACGAAACATATTTGTTTATTTTCCGTTTCTTTTTTATATACACTCAAAACGGAAGCAAGTGAAACAAATAACAGAGTAGCGGGAAGAAGTGGTAAAAATAAAACTACTTAGGCTATATGTTTACCTGCGGGATTTTGCGGGCGGGAGCGGGACAAAACTTGAATACTGCGGGCTTGAGCTGGAGAAAATAATATATATTTTTTTGCGGGAGAAGGCGGGAGCGGGACTGAAAAATTCGTCCGGCGCAGGTCTCTAGATCACAACCCTAATTATTAAACACATTAAAAAAATTTCAGACGTCTTCTATGATGTTGAAATGTCATTGGCTGTTGCTTGGCGCGCCTGCTGCTTTGGTTTGACTACTCGATGGTAGCCCCCCCGTCGTTAACATGGCACGCGGACTAACAAGAAAATATATAATTGGCACTCCATGTCAAAAAGGTTGCCGACCCCTGCCCTACATGCTACATTGGTATCATATTTATGAAATATGCTCAGTAATAACTGTGCAGTTCATTCAGTGTGTTGATTGTAAACAGCATGTCATGATTGAGATAAGGGATAATGCACTTCCTACCAGGTAGGCTGAAAAGAAAAAAAATATCTTTTGGTTTTGTTGTTTCAGATCATTGTACCAGAAAATTCTCTTAATTATGGAGAAAAAAATATGCTACTAAATGTGTATAAGAAATCATATTGTGTCATTGTATTGGTGTTTATAAAGCAAAGGACTTCCTTGTTCTAGTAAACTAATGAGTTTAGTACTAGTTAAGATTAGTAAATAAAGAAAATGTTCTCATTCAGGGCTCATCGTTTAAATGCAATTGCATAGCTTATCAATACCATACCGGTTAAATGCATCTTTTGTGATGTGAATGAGTGATATGCTCTTTGCATGTGATTTAGGCATGACAGGATATTGGGGAACCGGTCTTGCTTGCTCATACAACCTGTTCACCCATGACAAAGACCAGAGATTCAAAACAAAGAGGGAACAACAGTGTATGAGACCCACAACAATAAAGGTGAGTATGTTTAAGAACCACCCACATAGCCCACACGGCAGCCCAGGAAACAGAACACAGACATTATGGACTGTCAAGCACCCAAGACTAGGAGAACACACAGAAAGTGATGGCCAGCAACCCCAGCTGGCCAAACAGGAAACCTGTCTAACTGAAGGGGCAGAACAGGGACCGGTCCTGACAATTATTCTTAGATGTATCTGAATATGTAATTTGTAATGTCTTTGGACCTCGACCAGTGAGGTCACATTTCAGGAGCAGAGCTGCATTCCAAGGTGATTTAAGTCAGAAACAACAAATGCATTAACATATTAATGTAATGAGAGGCACTGAGCTATGCATGATGACTTTTGTTAGGCATGTTGGTGAATTTATCCCACACAAATATTAATGGAAGACAAAGACACTTTAGTAAACACAAAATAGAGAGTCAGAAGAGTTATTTCACCGTTTCGGCCTTTGAACAAGACTCTTACTGTATGTCCCCAGCTACTCCAGGGACTGACTGACCCTGACCCTCAAAACAGAATGTATGTAGCTTTGGTTAAAAGTGTCCTGCTACATCTGGTGTAACACTAACACAGTATTCCTCAATAAGAACATTGCAGATGTTGCGGCTAAAGGTGACACAACCAGTTATTAAGTTCTGGGGGGAAATTATTCCTTCAACTGGGTGATGAATAACCTTTTTCTTTCCATAAATGCAATAACCATTTAATATCTGTGTTTTGTGTTTACTCATGTTCGTATTATATTACATTTTATGTAAAGTTCTGAAACCATTTGGGGTAACAAATGTGCAAAAAATGAGGAAATCAGGGCAAATATTTTTTGCAACACTATGTTTTCTCTGCTATTTTTATGATGGCTTTTTCTTTCTGAACACTTTGTACATATAGGCAGTAATATGGCAATGCGATGTGTCAAAAGTGTAAAGAAAGGAACGTATCATTACATCCCATAAAGATGGACATTCATGTGTTAGGACGTTGGTGGTAGGTAACTGTGAGTCATCTGTGTTTGTGGAACAATGCTGTTTACAGTACCGCAGGCTTTCGGAAAAAAACTCACTGGAGTTCCGGGATGCTTTAATACACCAGGTTGAAAATAACCCAAATGTTTCCATTTGTGTCTATATTAGAGATGCGCCTATGGCGGTTATATCCGCGGGCGCTGCGGATAATCCGCGGGTTGGGTGGGTCGGGTAATAAAAAAATACATTTTAATTAATTGCGGGTGGGTCACGGGTGGATCAGATCAATCATTAATGATGCAAATATCAACTACATTCTCTAAAATACGAACATGTTTTAAATGCATTTTTCATCAGGCAGACAGTCGCTAATTTGCGCTCTCGTCTTAAAAAAATACGTGCGTGGCGGGAGGAGGGGGGTCCATTTCTTAAAGCAGAAATGGAGGCGAAACAGATCCAAGAGAGACTAAAAAAGGGAGAATTAAAAACAAAACAAAAGGAAGGAAAGAAAAGTGCTGTGTGGGAGCGGTTTAGCGAAGTGCCTATCGCCTGTTACCTATCGTCTGTATAAGTGCCTACGAGTTCTTTTTGGGGAAAAAAGTTCTTAATTGTTCTCTTTTTTTATCTATTTGGAAAGCATAATATTCTGTATTATTTGAATAGATAGGGCAAATAAATTTGCCGTTATCCAGTCATTGTGTGTTTATGTGTTGCAGCGACAGAAACGGTGATATTCCCATTAAAGTCTGAATGGAGTAGGCTAAAGACTG